ATTCTGGTCACCGGACTTCATGTTTTTCCCGAAGGTGTCACTTTCGTTCGCTTATTACACATAAAGCTTTTGATAAAAGAAATTTTTGTTGTGAATTAAACTTCTAGACATGTACTTTTAAATAATAAATAATATTTATTTATTATTTAACCCTTTTTTGCATATTACAATTGGTGTACCCTCCTTAATAATATTAAACTCTAAAAGTTAAGTTAAAAATTTTCGAATTAGACCTTTATTATTATTTAATTAAAAATGAATTTTGTAATATTAGTTGCTATCAGTGGAAGCTTCTTAATCATTTTCAACTTGATTTTGCACATAAGGAATAAGAAAGTCGGAAATGAAGTCCAACATTTTAATCACATCATTAACAGCTTTTCTAGAAAGCAAACGATTATTATACAACTTGCGTAAGTACGCGCTGGCGCGCGCGTGAATTATGATACAGTATATATATGATGGATTGAATATAATAAACATAACAATATATGATAAATAAATAATTCTAATTATTCTTAAAATAAAATAAATAGAATTTCGAAAAGTTAAAAAATGAAAGTTCCTTAAAAATTAATTATAAAAATATTTAAATTATATCATTTAATGAATTTCGGTAAATTTCATTAAAAATTCTATACTTTATATATATTTTTTTAATGACTAGTTTTCTCGTCCATTCATCATTGAAATTTCATTTTATTTAAAGAGATTAAGAATAGAAAAAGTATTCTTTTGTTTGCAATAAAAATTGTTGTAATAGAAATTTTCACTGTGGACTTTTTTAACTTCTCTTTTGATAAAAATAGTCATCGTAAAATTAAATTTAAAAAAATTTTAAATGTTGTACTTTTATTTTCTCAGTTGCATAACGAACGATTAAAAAGATGTTAATTTTATCAAATTTAATATTTAAAAAGAGTAAACAAAGCGATTTTTCTAAATAAATACCGGCGAAGTTCAAAAAGTGAAGGAATAATTGAGATTAAAATCATAAAGTGACAAAATTGATAATAATTGTCAGTATGTAGCAATTTTTATAATTCAAAAATTTTTGTAAATTCATGCAATAAAAAATTTTGATGATTAGAAAATATTTTTTATTTTATTTCTTTTTAATTTAATATGAATGTAATTTAATTGTGCTTTTAGAATATTACGTAAATAAATTTCAAAAATATATTCGCAACTAAATATTAATATAAGAATCAAAGTAAAATATAGATATTCTCATTGAATATTGTTTGAGTTGTGATTTTCTTTTGTGTTTTAGCTTTTTTCTATGGTATTTTAGAGAATGGAAATTTAATTGGAAGTTTATTTGCAGCAATTATCTAAAATAATTATTAACTATTAAAAATTATTAATATTAAAAATATTATTATAATCAAATAATAAAACTTGATAAAACTGTTATCAGACTGAATAAGAAAATATTTATTTCATATTTGTATAATTCTTCTAAATGTACTTTTTTCTAAAAACTAATTTTAAAAAATATAGAAAATATATTACTTATATAGTATTTACACTAATGTAGTATTTTTACATTGTATAATTTTAACTCTATATATGTAAAATACATTTATGTTTAAGGTGTTTAATAAATGATTGAGCAGTATATTAGGTTAAGATTGCGATTAGATTAAGATTTATATATGTAATTAGGTTGAGAATTGTGATGTATATATCCTTTTTTATCCTTTCATTATTAATTCTTTTGAATACAGAAAGAGTATAAAAAGAAAAATTAAACAAATTTTCATATAAAATTTAATTATTTTTTAATAATTTCTATATAGAGGAACATTTTTTTCTATAAAACCATTAATTTAGACTATTATTTGATTTTGATAGAAATTGTCATAAAACAATAATTATTAATAACAACGAAATTGAGAAATATAAAAAATTGTTTTGTCATAATATATCAATTTGGATAGTAAATACTACAATTTTATCAATTATTAGGAAAATCACAGACTTCGGCCTTGCCTTTCACTTAGAACACATCTATAATATGGTTACATAAAAATGCTATATGTCCGAATTTATATTAATCACAATAATAACTTAACAGACATTTTTTTTATTCATAATTCATAACTGACAATTTTTTTTTAGATATGTAATATATATTGAACAATCAATATTTAGGACAATATTTTTTTTTTAAATAAAAATTGCAATAGTTTTAACTGGGTCATTATAATTCTACTAAAAACTTATTTTATTAACTTTACCTTCTTTACATGATATTAACAGTAAGAAATCACAGTATTTAATGTAAAAAGTTCTTACTTAAATATTTTTAATATTTAATATTTTGTTACGTTTAATTTATAAGAGAACACAAACATTTAAAAAAAATTGTTTTAAAAACAATTTGATTTGTTAATAAAATAATTAAATTTATAATTTGGTAAAATAATGTAAAAATAATTGCAAATGTCAATTCATCGAATTAAAGGTACCTTAAGTTTTTGAGGATTGGTACTTTTAATTTTTTTTTATTTTATTTGTCAGTAATTTACTATACTTATTAATTGATCGATTTATTTTTAAAAAATTGTATATAATATTCAAAGTATTCTTTAAATATTCCCACTACCCAACTATAAAAGATGTGCAATTTATCATTTTAAAGAAATGAATATTTAAGAATTTTGTGATAGTTATTCGCATAATTCATGAATAAACCGTGTTATATTATAGAGCAACGCCTGGAGCGATGTGAAAAAAATATTTAAATATGCACTGATTTCTAAAAAAAAAAAAACGATAAATCCTAAATAGAAATTCGAAATCAAACAGAATTCGTAGAATACGAGCAAAAAATAATAATCAGTACTATGTCAATGTTAAAAAAAAATTATAAAATAAAAAAGTTACTTAAAATCAATTGCAATTACAGTAATTTTAATTATTGTTTTCAATGAACTTTAGAGGCATTTGGTTTATCTTCGCACATTAGTACAATCATTAAAATTACCAAAATATGATATGTTAAATTTAAATTAAATCAATTACATTTAAATTCAATTTATTTCGCTGTATAAAAATTACATTTTTGTTGCACAAAATTTCCGCTATAAATAAAATTTAAAAAAAAAACATTATTTGTTTATTTAAGATAAACGCTCTCAACAGTAAATAATTTATTATATAACAAGAGAGACCTTCTTTATACTCTTTTCATCAGGTGATAAAAAATTTTATTTACCTAATCTGGAAATTAATACTAATTATCATAATGCATTGATTCAGTTCTGTAAAAATTATTAATTAATTAAAACAGCGCCCACGATTACGGCATCTGATACTGATGCATAAAATCAAAAAATAAAATTATTTTATGTGAAATGAAGTTATGGTTATTACTTGAAAAAAAATTAGTTTTTATTACATTTATTCAAAATTCGCAAAATGGCATCACTTTGAAATAAATTAACTAATCTCTGAATTCAGAATTAGAATTAGTTAAATAGATAATAAATTTTAAATGAATTTCAGAAACCTAAATTCAGAATTGTAATTTCGATATATTTTTCAAACGCTTTTTTCTCGAAACAGAATTTTTGAAATTGCTGTGCAGGATAGCTCAAAAAGTTATTGACCGATTAAAAAAAAAAAATTGCAAATTGTTCGTTATTAAATTTATTATTAATATTGAATTAAACTTTAAAAAAAAAAATTAAATAACTTATTTTTTAGCAAAAAGACGCAAAATAATAGGTAAAAATTCAAAAATTAACTCAGACGGCGCAGCTCCAGGTTTAGTGCAGCTGCTCACTTGGAATGTTTTTAATAAAAATGCTTAGAAAAAATTGTGAGACACAGATAAATATAAGTACAACATAATGTCATTTTTGCATTTAATTTAAAAAAAAAATTTTATCCCTTTCAAAAAAAAATCCTGAAAAACAATGTCCTAATGTGGTTTCCCCCCTTTAAACAAAAATTTTTTGTTGTTTCATGGCCGAAAAGTCCAATGACTCCAAAAAGACAAGACCCAAATAATTGAATTCATTTACTACTTCTATAGATTTTTCTTCAAATTTAAAAGAATGAATATTACTATAATTTTTCTTCTTATTTGTAAAAATACAACAGATATAATAGAACTATTTAAATTAGATTAATTTTCAAATTTATGATTTCTATACCGTGGATGTCCCAGTTACCGTCCACCTAAGACCTAGTTTCCGTTCAGTTTAATTTTCAAAATAACATTTATAAAAAAATTATTTTCTTTTTTTTGTTTACTTAAACTAATAAGTCGATTGTGTGCCAAAAGGAATAAATTATTGTTAAAAAATAATTTAAATTACTATACGAGATATTTGTAAAATGGACGGAAACTGGGACATGGACGGTAACTGGTACATCCACGGTATATATATATATATATTTAAAAAAATAATTTATTTTGTTTTTAGAAAATTTGTCCCTTTATTACTAAATTAGAGGAAATGGATTCAATAATTGTTCGATTAATCAGCTGTTTATTTTCTACTTTTATAGATAAATAAATATCATCTATAGGGTTTCAAAGCAGAATATTTTATTACTTTAAAAGAAATAAATATTACTTAATAAAAGAAATTTAATAAATAATTAAAATAATTATTGAAATCAATCATATAATATAATTAATTTTTGTTATATTAAATCATAAAATACTAAGATCGCTCTGAATTATTAATATGAATTAATTATGATTCATATTAATTATGAATTAATATGTATAACAATAATTGTATTATATAATTATTATTATTTAATTCAATACTATTGAATTATATAATATAATTCAACGTGATTTTATCTAAAAAAAAATAATTTAAATGAAAATTTTTAATAAAAAATAAAGTAAGTCAGTAAATTCCTACAAATTACAAAGGTAAAATTCATTTATTTCCTAAATTAGTCTATCATAAATAAACAATTTTCACCATTAAATCCTTAAATGATTTATCTGAGAAGTTATAAATACTTACTCTTTGCGGCCCAAACTTTTCCCTTTTTCAGTGCTCCTAGAAACCACTCCATATCTGTTCTACAATTCTCGTGCAAATTTCCGGGTATTTTACGCCATCTCAATGGATCATAAAGATCCATAAGCCATTGAATGCTGTTTGTCGTTTTTTCTAATTTTTCTGTCATAAAATCAATATCCATATCCTTTTGCTCTTCAAAATTATTAGTAATCATTTTTAAAGCCGATTTCCAATCAAGCTCTGGATTATTTTTACTAAATGTAAATAATAAATTCTTATCACTTTTTTCATAAGAATTCATTGTACTGTGATTTCGTTTAACTTTCTCATCGTTAACAAAACCTTTTTCATTTTCACTAAAATTTGACATATTAGCCTCAATTTCTGACATCCTTCGACTATTCACCTTTTGAATGTTGGACTCATTTTTTGAATAAACGATCGCCCAACATAAGGTTAATAAAAAAACTGCTTGTTTATTCATTTTAAAAACTTCTTATTTATACTCCTTGTAATATAATTTAAAATTTTTTTTTTACAACAAGACAAAAATTAATTTTTCCATTTATAGTTACCAGCTTCATTTTTTATTAAAGAGTTTCAAAAATTTTTAGTTGCGGAAACTTTAAGTCGTCCTTGAGAAATATATAAATGCAAACACCCGCAAGTATTCACACGTGTTCCTGCCACTTATACTCGTCGATTTTTATCTAGTGTTACGAGTCGTTGGATACTTTCTTTTTAACAGCAATGTGCCTTCTTCTTCTTCTTCAATGGTAATTGATAACACCGATTTAAATTATTACTCTCACTTTGAATACTCCTTTGTTATATGAATTTTGATATATAAAAATTTGTTTTTTTTTAGACAAACAACAAAAAATCATTTACAACCACTAAACCAAATCTTTCGATGTAAAAAATGTTAAATGAATAAAAAAAAAATCAATTATAAAAATCGTTGCACAATTTTTGTACTTTTAAAAAAAATGTTTATTAATTATGAGAATGTTTTGTCTTGTTCAATTGAATTAAAATTTTGATTTTTTATATTTATTTTTTCACAATATTTGCACCGTCTTTTTTTTTGCACAATATTTATTAAGTTACTGAATTTGATTCGTAAGGCCGAAGAGAGACGGTAGCCACACATGCGGGGCTAAGTATCACGCACTGAATGGAGTAAATCGACATGCTGCTACATCGAGTCATAAGAGTCTCCTTTCTCCAGTAATGCATATTTCCTTCTCAGATTGGCGAGAATTGTCGCGAGCTTACGAGTTTCATTTCGTGTGAAATCCCACTAACTGACATAGCAGGTGAAATTTAAAGAATGAAAGTCGAAAATTACTAAGCAGATGTTTAACTTCTTTTTTTAAAAGTTCTATTCTTAATAAAATTTTATTTTATAATATACCTCTGTCAATAATAATGTAAATTATAACTATTAATAATAGTTTTATAAAAACTATTAATGAAAAAACAAATAATTTTTAAAATCTCATTTTAATTCCCAGTTAGAAATTTTCTAATGAATTTAATAAAAATAAAACACCTGAAAAATGTTTGTATAATAAATAAAAATAATATCGACCTAATTTTTTATATGAAAATACCGCGGTCGAGATACAAGTATTAACCATTAAAATATGCTCGTAAAAAAAACATACACCTTGGTTGCAATATAATACTAACAGCTGAAATTATATGGGCGTTTCGTGCCAGATCTGACTCAGTCGAACACAGAGATTTTGTTTGTATTTTGCTTTATTTAGATGTATTTAGGGTACCAAATAAGTGTGCCATCAAATTAAAAACTACTTTTACATTAAATTACAAGGTGTTAAATTGTAATTAATCAGTTATAGCATTTTAATTCGAATAAAATGGGAAAATATTTTTTTTTTTTTAAATGAATATAAATAATGTAATGACAAAATTATTGATGATAATAAAATTTTATTAATAATATTGATTTAAAAAAAAAATATTTATGAAGTAATATTCTATTTTCAAAAATATTGTAACCTTGATTTTTAAAGATGTTAAATATTTAAACCTCGATTTAAACAAAATCATTAAAAATCAATTAATTAATCAACATTACAAGGGAAGACTCGAATAAATTCTGCCGTGTTTTCTAAAAACTTAGGTAACTGCAAAAAAATCGAAAAATGAGTTTTTTATATCGTTGGAATCGTGGAAAAAAGATACACCTGTTAATGCAAATTATTTTTAAAAATTGTTAATATTATTAATAATAATTTTTGCATAAATAATTGAAAATACCGGTAACTGCAAAAATTGATGAGTGATAATTTGAGAAACTTAGGTAACTGCTATAAAAACTGGGGTGTCTTTGGGTGTTGTGACGTATTTTGTAGGTCGTGATTTGAAGAACTTAGGTAACTACACAGTGCCTTAGTTTCTCAAAACACGGACATCATTTTTCGAGCCCTCGTCGCATGGAAAACTTAGGTAACTACAGAGTGCTATCAGAGCACTGTAGATACCTAAGTTTTCCATGCGACGAGGCCTCGAAAAAGGAGGATCGTAATTTGAAGGACCAAGTAACTGCAAAATCTTATACATTTCTTTAAAATTACTTTGTTTTTTCTGCAATTAATAATTTATAATAACAATAAATAATAAAATAAAAAACTCCAATATTATATATATATATATAATTATACCTAAATAATAATTTATCAATTATTGAAAAATTAAGTATTAATTTTAATAAATAACAAAAGCATTAATAAATTAAGAAAATGAAGTTCAGCAATATGTTTATTTCATGATTAATATATAATTAATTTAGTTCAATTATTTAAGGGGACTTTCTGGTTTAGAATTTCAAAAAAATCGATTTTTTTTTGCTTAAAAATGTTCCATAGTATCATAGAATTACTGTCCCAAAACGTTTTTTAAAAAATATGTACAAAAACAAAAGTTATAACAATATTTATGACGGTATGTATTTCAACAACAATCTACAGTTATCTTATTTACATATTTGGTGTTCCTCTTTTATTGATATTAGCTTGAAACATGTTACTCGAGGGTTTTTGCGGTCGCTGATTACGAATTTGATGTCAGTTTTTGAAAATACAAAATGGCGGATCCAATATGGCGGACGAAAAAATAAAAATTCAAGCGGATTTGCTTAAGGTATCACATCGGTAAAACCGTTTTCTATAGATTTTCTTGAAAATTTTACCATATGTTCTTATTATCATTCTTGACAAATTTGCAAAATATGAAGAATTTTCGCCGTACGAAACCAGAGATATTAGCAATCAAAGTTGCTTATTTTGCATGGGAGACGGGACTAATGTATGGGGGAGAAGTACATTTTCATAAATATCATCAGAAGTTTTCTATAAATTTTTTTCAAAAACTAATGTTGAATTCAGGAATAAATTTGGAACTAAAATATACAAAGAAATTTATAATTTACCGTGCCGTTTATTCGTAATTATAAATTAAAAATTCTATTTCATGACGTCATTTGCAATATATAGCACACCCGCCACTTTGATGTGGCAACATCGCAGGATGGTAACATTAGTTAGAGAGAGACAGTAGTCCACAGTAGTCAAAGCGAGACTTATAGCGACGTTGTCAAACCTCCTACTCCTTCCAATCGCTGCTAGTGTGGGGTATACGTGTACGAGTGTATTTGTAGAAGTAGGTACAGTATGGGCTGAGAGTATAGGGAGTTGAGGGCGAAAGTATAGTGCGGGAAGTAGTAATGCGAGCTACAAACTTTTGACTCCGATTAGTGCCGATGTGATACCTTAAAACTTGTTACTCGGGGGTTTTTGGGGTAGCTGATTACGAATTTGATGTCAGTTTTTGAAAATACAAAATGGCGGATCTAATATGGCGGACAAAGATTAAGAAATTAATTAAATTTAGTTGAAAATGGTTACTTGTGGCCTTTTGAGATTGCTAGTTATGAATATACGCACAAAACATTAACGTTCTAGGAACGTTTTAATTAATTAAAAAAGTTAATTTTTTATTTTGTAGTCCGCCATATTAGATCCGCGATTTTGAATTTTCAAAAACTGACATCAAATTCGTAATCAGCGACCCCAAAAACCACTGAGTAACAAGTTTTAAGCAAATTCGGTTGATTTTTTATTTTTTCGTCCGCCATATTGGATCCGCCATTTTGAATTTTCCAAAACGGACATCAAATTCGTAATCAGCGACCCTAAAAACAGCGGGATACGAAGTTCTGTTGTAATAAAAAGTTGTTTGATATTCATGACTCAATGAACTATGTTATGAAAACTTTGAACGCGTTTTTCTCGAAAACTCATTTTTCAAACTGGTACAGAGCTTTTCTTGAAATCTACCGAACCGATTTTGAAATCCCAAAAATTTTTCGATTCTTTATTTAAAAAACTGGGGCCTAAACCTCTAAAAACTCATATTTCTACCCCCTGTGTTTTTATATGGAGGTAAATTGACCCAAAAACACGGCGTTTTTGCGAGTTTTTGAGAAAAATGTACATAAAAAATAAAAAAAACCTTTAAAAAAAATCGTTTTTGAGGTTTAGGCCCCAGAATAAATCCTTATGAAGAGATTCCCGTTTGGAACTTGAATTTATGTATTACAGGTTGCCCGGAAACTAACGTACCAAAAAAAAGGTATCTTTTGGAAGACGCCACCTACAGCTATGAAATTGAACTAAATACACTCAAACATATTTTTTAAATTTTCTCTACGCAATGTGCTACAATGTCCAAAAATAGTTTTTACAATTTCTTTAATACTGTTCTTACAATAAAAGTTTTAAAACCTTCCTTTTTTGTCAATTCTAAACCAGAAAGTCCCCTTAAAAAATTAAAATCGTTTTTAATTATTTAAATAAACGTTAATAAAGCAGCGAACTACATTACCTACAATAATTTGACTTTAATATTGTATAATTAAAATAAATTCAATCATATAGTTTAATATTTGTAAAAAACAATAATTATAATGATAACTTTCGCATCTTGTTAAATAATTACACTTTATTATTTAATATTTTTTTAAATTTATTTTTGTATTATTTTTATTTGATTTATGTATTTTATTTTATATTATTATTTAATATATTCTGAGTTAATACAATATTTGACTTTAATATTGTATAATTAAAATAAATTTAACCATAAAATTAAATATTTGTAAAAAACAACAATTATAGTGACAACTTTCGCAGCTTATTAAATAATTATAGTTTATTATTTAATATATTTTTACTATTTTTTGCCAAGAAAGATGAAAATTCTTATATATTCGAGACGCATGAAAATCCCCTAAACTTCATATAGCAGAAATGCCATTTGACAGAAATTTATATAACAGAAATTTTATTGGACAGAATATTTACATGGCAGACAATTCATATAACAGACTTTTCATTGGACAGACGTTTGATTGGACAGAATTTTTATCGAACAGAAATGTCACTTAACAGAAATTTTATCTGACAGAATTTCCATTCAACAGAACATAAGTATAGCAGAACTCTCATTGGATAGAATATTTACACGGCAGACGATTCATATAACAGACTTTTCATTGGGCAGACGTTTGATTGGACAGAATTTTTATCGAACAGAAATGTTACTTAACAGAAATTTTATCTGACAGAATTTCCATTCAACAGAACATAAGTATAGCAGAACTCTAATTGGTCATAATTTAACTTTTGCATCATACATTCTCATTCCTGCTTTAGTTTTAACTTGTCGGTAAAGTAGACGTAGAGGTCAGTAGTTGCTATTTCTTTCTCGCCCCAAAGTTTGAATATTAAATAATAAAACTAATATTTTATTTCATTATTATTGATAATGAATACCTAATAATTATAAGTAAATAAAATATTAGTTTTATTATTTAATATTCAAACTTTGGGGCGAGAAAGAAATAGCAACTACTGACCTCTACGTCTACTTTACCGACAAGTTAAAAATATAGCAGGGATGAGAATGTATGATGCAAAAGTTAAATTATGACCAATTAGAGTTCTGCTATACTTATGTTCTGTTGAATGGAAATTCTGTCAGATAAAATTTCTGTTAAGTAACATTTCTGTTCGATAAAAATTCTGTCCAATCAAACGTCTGCCCAATGAAAAGTCTGTTATATGAATCGTCTGCCGTGTAAATATTCTATCCTATGAGAGTTCTGCTATACTTATGTTCTGTTGAATGGAAATTCTGTC